TCCTCTTCCCGGTCCTCCTCCTGCCATTTCCTCTCCTCTCCTCATCGTCCTGCTCCCGCTCCTCCTTCCACTCCCGCTGCTCCTCCTCCTCCCGCTACTCCTTTCTCGAGTCACCTCTTGCCTCCATCCTCCTCCTCTCCTCTTCCCTCCTCCTGTCGTATGCCTGATCATCGTCATCCTTACCTTGATCCTCACTTTCCACCGTCCACGTCAGACTCCCCCTCTCGTGTCATTGTCCTTTTCAACCTCCTCCTCCTCCTCCTCCTCCCCCCCCCCCGGTCATTTTCCAATCTCTCATCCATTCACATTTCGTCGAATGATCGGGCTTGGCTTTTGGGAGCGATGGTCAAGGTGAGAAACTGGAGGAGGAGGGGGGGGGAGAGAGGAGGAAGAGAAGTGGAAGGTCGCGGGAAGAGGAGGAACACGAGGAGGAGGAGGAGGAGGAGTGGGAGGAGTGTAAGGTCGACGTTCAGTTGCAGTTGGGGCTTGATCGATTCGTCAATCCCGGATTGTCTGTGGGATCCCGGCATGAAACCTGTTATTCTTTGTTTTCAATAGAAGGCGACGGCCTTGAGATATCGCCTTTGCGCCGACCAGCCGTATCATCTGATCCCATTGGAATTCCAACTCAGGTCCGCATTTGAACAATTAATGGGAAACCTTCCCCCCCCCCCCCGATCTGCTGGTCCTCCTCTCTCTTGCTTTCCTCCAATCTTGATTTTGGACATTCCCTTCCGAGAGCCTCGCTACCAGATTTTATTTATTTATTTTTTTTTGGGGGGGGGGTTCATCTGCATATTTACTTGCTGCCCTCCAATTTTGCCTGCCTCTCCTCATCGCCCCTCTTCTGTGCCGCAGCTTTGCAGCGGCGGGTTCACTTGTTCTGAAGACTACCTTCTTCCCCCGAATACAACGTACGGTCATTATAGCTGTATCTAGACTGAAAGATGCCTCAAATACAGCTATAATGACCGTACGTTGTATTCGGGGGAAGGAAGGTAAAGCAAAGAAAAACGAAACTATATTTTCATTTACAAAACGAACCGCCGGATGGAAGTCAGGGAGATGCATCTCGGAGGTCGCGCCATGCCACACCGGATAGAAAACTCAACGTTGAACTACAGTCTTCCCCCGAATACAACGTACGGTCATTATAGCTGAATTTAGACCGAAAGATACACCAAATTCAGCAATATGACCGTGCGTTGTATTCGGGGGAAGACTGTAGCTAACTAGCAAGCTCAACGGTGCAGGTGGGACACGGCCCTGGGAATTCCTCCACAAATGGGAAATCCTCCAAAAAACAACCCGGCAAAGAACGGACTGGGGACCTTTATCCAACTTAGGTGTAGGCATTGGGGTATATCCAGTCCCAGAATGGCCAACTCCAGGACCGCTGTACTGATAATTTCCCAATCCTAGGCCGTAGAAAGGAGTGCCTCAGGCCACCAAATCCTAACAAACCATAAACCGACCAAACAAGAAGGAAGTTTTCACCTTTCTCGACCTCCGCTGAGATCAAGTGTAGTATCTGTTCTGATCAATTTAATTTCTGATCCATAAAAATTAAAAAAATCAATTAAAAAAGGAAATTTAAATAACCGGAACCTAAATAAGGGAAACAACTACCGGTAGAGGGACGAAAACAGAGTAGTGGGAAACAGACACTTTTTTTTTCTTTTTTAAATAACGGCGACGGCCTTAAGATATCATCTTTTTTTTCGTTTTTTCCGATCTGACCGGCCCCAGGTAATTCAGAACTATTTGATTCACCTTTCTGGGCCTTTTGGCTAAGTAAGATCAAGTGTAGTATCTGTTCTAATCAGTTTAATATCTGATCCGTGGTCCATAGGGCCACATTTAAATTAAAAAAAAAAAAAAACTATTTGATTCTGTTCATCAGATTGCATCTGGACTTGAACTCAGGTCTGTAATTTCAACAGTTCATTGAGTGTACCAACTGAGCTAGGCCAGCTGGTGTGGGAGCCAGTTCAGCTTGCTGCTCTTCAGACCTGGCCAGCTGGAGTTGGGGAACTGTGGGAGCCAGTTCAGCTTGCTGCTCTTCAGACCTGGCCAGCTGGAGTTGGGGAACTTAACAGAACGAAGGGCTCGGAGGAACATACGGTGTGAGAGGAGAGGAGAGGAGAGGAGAGGAGAGAAGAGAAGAGGGGAGTCCACAGATCTCTGACCTGGTTACAGACCCCGTCGCCCAGCAGGTTAGTAGGCAGCTAGGCTACCAGAGTGGCCCGGGACCACTTGCCCGGCCGGGCCAAAAAGAGTTAAGAAAAAATAAAAAATATATACTGTCACAAAGATATCAGAGCGCAAAAGCGAAAAAAAAGTTAAAAAACAAGGGGGGGGAAAAAATCATTTTTTATCTTTTTACTTACAACTCCCCCTGTTCAAAACCTCTTGCGTACAAGGCCGTTTTTTATTTTTTTTGGTAAAGAATTTCGATGCGACGCTGAGGCAGAAGTTGTTCAGTTTATTTTTCGGCATAATATTTTTTTTCTCAGTTTTTTTGGGTTTTTTTTTTTCGGGGGGGAGGGGGAGGGGGAGCTTCTTTGGTCCTTGCATGGCCGGGCTACCCGGGCAAACAAGGTGACCCGGGCGGCCGTGAATAATGTCCTTGGGTAGATTGTTAGTGCACATTGCACATATGTCGGTGCTGTTGGAGATTCACTATTTTTTTTTCCTTTTTTTTTATCTGCCTACTCTCTTGACCACTCATTGTCACAGTATTCACTATTTTGAATTTTCTAGCCCCATGTCCTTTACAAATTATAAAAAAAAAAAAAACAATCCCCACTAGGGCGGGGGCCCAACGTGCATCCCCTTGATTGTGAGAGGTAGCTATGCTTAGGAGTAGTGATACGCAGGCAGTGAAAGGTGACATTGAGTGAAGAATCTACCTTAGTTTATTATTGTGTTAAAAAAGAAAAAGCAAAAAGGGAAGCAAGTTGAGACCTTGCCCCCCCCCCACGGCACGGCGTACCGTCAACATTGAGACCGTTTTGAAATTGCATCTCAGTCCTTGTCCAGGTGGTAGTCACAGGAATAAAACTATAAATACGCAGGTAGTCACAGGAACAAAAATATAAATAAGTAATGAAGGGGAACTTCTTGGCCAGGGATCTCACATTTTGAAATTGCATCACAGTCCTTGTCAGAATATACCTGGACTCCTTCACATCCGAGTACAGATAATGTACATGGTCCTCCAGGTTCATTGTGACACGGGCTTACATTGTAAATTGCCCAATTGCCCCCCTCCGTAAACCCCTCCTCACTTACCAACTGGCCTTCGCTCGCGGGCAGTTGGTACACCACTAAACTGTTGAAATACAGACCTCTTTTTTTTTTTCTTTTTTTTTTTTTCAGACCTCGTTTTCGAACTCCACTGGAAGCAGATGAGTAAAAACAAACAAAAAAAAACTAAACTGCTGCAATACAGACCTCTTTTTCCAGTTTTTGAACAGTTCGAACTGTACTAATTGCACTAAACTGTTGAAATACAAACCTTTTTATGGAACTCCGCGGGAAGCAGATGAGTAAAATACTGCAATTTTTTACAGTGTTAATTAAAAAAAAAAAAAAAAAAAAAGTCCTAATGATGATTAAAAACAAGCCCTTTAGTGGTGTACCACCTGTTCAAACTGTACTAATGATGATTACAGTGAGATATCATCATTTGAATTGACCGAGCCCTTCAGTATTTCCCGTATTTGAACACTTCGAACTGTATTAATGATGATTAAAAACAAACAAACAAAAAAACTAAAGGGCTCGGTCAGTTCAAATGATGATATCTCAAGGCCCTAGCCCTTTTGTTTTGTTTTTTTTTTGTTTTTTTTTTTAATCCTCACTTCAAAGTTCAAACTAAACGTTTTATATTGAACATAGGGAGAGTATCTAGGCTGTCCCTGAAGTTCCTGACATTATCACACACACACACCCCTGTCGAAATGTACCTGACCAGCTTTCACGTTCAGGTACAGATCACCGACCAGACCATCATTACCATTCCAGGTCAGATTGCACTTGCTATTGCAGACGCCCAAGTGCATGATTTCCACGTCCTCCGCCTACAACCACCCATGAGCATTCCGACTGTGCGAATTTTGTCCTTTGCTTCTTCTTTTCTTCTTTTTTTCTTCTTTTTTTCTTCTTTACAGTGTTTTTTTCCACAACGGCGGCGTCAAGATATCATCATTCAGCTGATCTGCCACACAGGTAATTTACAATTACGTATATTCTGTCGTCTGATTGCATCTGGATTCGAGTTTGAGTCTGTATTTCTACAGTTTTATGGGTGTACCGGGCGAGCTAGGCCCGTTGGTTTTGCTTCTTCTTTTCTTAAGAGAGGATGACAACCTTGAGATAGCATAGCATCATCAAACTGACCGCCCCCAGGTTAGTTGCAGTCATTTTGTCATTTTGTTCATCTTCATCTCATCCATCACGATTCCAACTTGTACCTACAAAATTACGCAGCCCACGTGACTGATTGGTCTGTTTATCAACCAGTTCATCAGTGTACCTACCAATCAGCCACATGGGCTGCATAATTTTGTCCTTCATAACTTGTAAAAGAAATACTTATGTCCTTCACCCATTATTATTACAGTATTATTTTATTATATTATCAAGTACATAGTACATACTTGTTATTAGTATTAATATTAGTAGTAGTAGTAGTAGAAGTAGTACTAGTAATCTAGTAGCAGTAGTAGTAGTAGTAGTAGTAGTAGTATGATATTTGTAGTATTTGTACAGTATCAGTGCTAGTAGTAGTAGTAGTAGTAGTAGTAGTAGTAGTAGTATGATATTCGTAGTGTTTGTACAGTATGAGTGCTATTACTGATATAGCATTATTCCTAATACAATCATCTTATCATTAAAATAACAAGTAAAATAATACCCTTAAAACCTTCATATGCTGTCATGCCCAACCCATTACGTACGTTGCAGTTTTGTCCCTCCCGCCATAGCTCGCTTACCTCTGCCATTCCTCTTCTTCTCTTCACGACTCGCCCAATCAATCTCTCCCCTGGCAGCGCTCGTTCACACAGAACCACGAACCCCGTCTCCTTTATTTTGCAAACCCCTTTTCCTTTGAAGGCCAGGCTTTCACAGAGCAGCTCCACGTCCTCCCCTGTCTTCAAGAAAGATCTACGGCCATAGCCGCTTGCGCTTGTTGTCCGCGGAGCTCCTGTCCCACCCTTTTTCCTCCCTCTTTCATCTCCTTTACCCCTTATTCTGCCCACCCCTCGAGACATACCACCTTCGTCATTGCCACTGGCTCCAAATGCCTCATCAGCCTCATCATGGTCCCCGTCATCACCATCCTGATCATCATCATAATCAGCCGAAGCCGACGCGGCAGCATTGGCCGCCATATCCGACCGATCGAAGCTCTGGTTGCCCAGGGACTCTATGTCCCCAACATTCGTCATCATGCCCATCACAGATGTGGCCCGATCCGCTGCATCTTCTTGCCCGTCACTCATATCCACGACCGTTTCCACGTGGCTGCACCTGCTTATTCCCTGACACCTGCGCATGTTGCTGACGTGGCATCCACGTGGAGTAGCCCGTCTGATACCCTCCTCACCTCGATCGGAGAGAAATTTCCGTTCGAAGAGAAGCTTGTAAGGCGAGCACGGTACGACCCTCCCCGCCCTCGACGATGACCATAGCCTCCTCCCTGCTCCTCCCCTCCCTCCTCCCGCTGGTGCAAGAGCTACTGCTTTTCTAAATCCCTTACGCTCCTCATTCCTGCCTGTCAGAACCGAGTGTCCTACCACTACGACGGCTCCAGGTTCCCGGCCGCTCCTTCCTGCTCCTACTCCTCCTCCTCCTCCTCCTCCTCCTCCGCCGCCGCCGCCACCGCCGTCATTTCCAACGCCCGCAAATGATACCGCTGTGCAAACCCATCCACGAGCCGCAGGACAAGCTCCCCCGCCGGCATAAGCAAAAGGACTGACAGCGGCGGGTGTAGAAGCCACTTGAGCTTGGCCGCGCCGACCGGTCGTGAGGAGATGTTCGACCGGGAGCGACAGCTCAGACGCGAGGGACCGCGGCATCACCATTCCTCTCGGGCGAGCCAGAAGACTCCACGACCGCACCACACCTCTCTGCATCGCGCGCGCCCTCGAGATCGCCGCCGCAAAAGACGTCTTTTGGCACGCCGCTGCAAAAGACGTCTTTTGGCGAGCCGCTTCAGCGATCGCGAATCTTCGTCGAATCTTCGTCAATTCACCTCCGCGTCGCTCATGCTTTCCACATCAGCGCTGTATCGATTGCGCGCGTCCATTTCCCCAGGCCACATCAGCCGTCAGCCGTCCCGCACTCTACCAGCCCTGCCACCGTCGGTCGGCACGTAGCCTGCTATGGGAGCAAACGGCCGCGCTCATTGCGTACCCTTTTTTTCCCCTTTTTTTTCCCTTTTTTTGGTTACCCAAATTTTTTATTTTTATTTTTATTTTTTTTTAAAAAGGGCGGCGGCCTTAAGATATTATCATTGAGCTGACCGGCCCCAAGCAATTCATTAGTAGCTGGTTTTACTCGTCAAGTTCCATCATCTGGATTCGAACACAGGTCTCTCTTTCAACAGTTCATGGGTGTACCCACTGGCTCTTGGGTCCCAAATTTTTAATGCAGGAAACGACCGCCTTTTCTACAGTTTGGAAACGAGTTTAGAAACGAGTTTGGAAAAAAAAAGAAAAAAGAAACGAGTTTGTGGGGCAGTTGAGTGACCCAAATCCTGCCATGCAGTACTCGTGATGCCACGGTCAGTACTTTACATGTAATGTATAACCCGAAAAAGTAAGGAGATCTTTGTTCCCCTCCTCCTCTCCTTAACACTGGGCATGGCCGTGCAAAGAAAGCTTCCTGCCAGAATCTTTTCAATGGGTTGGGGGTGTGGCCAACCCCAAACAAGGTTGGGGTCAGCCTCAGCCCACTGGATAGAAGATTTTCAGCATTTTACTTGCTGTTGTGCAATTATCTCATTGGGTGGAGCCCTCCTTCAATCAGGGAGTATATGGATGGTGTCAGGATCACTGCTAACAGAAGTCAAGTTTATTCCAGAAAATGTGGCAGTTACTTTGTTGACTGTTTTTGCAACCACCACCATCAGATCATTTGTGATCTGATGGCTGGGAAGCACTCTGCCATGATTTCGGGTGGGAGGTCTCTGTTTCTTTTTTTTTATTTTGGCCGTTTTCCTGTTGTATGTGCAGAGAGCAGCAAGTGGGTTATCGGTGTATCTTCCCTTGTTCTAGCGGAATTGATTTTCATATTGTGCAAAGGTTTGGCGGGGGGGAGGGGGGGGGGGGGGCATCCTACCCCTAATCCCATTCACTTCTCCACGGGTGTAAGTAAGTTGGCGATCGAGGATGGTGCTCTACTTCACCTTGGTGTTTGTTGTATTGATTCCCCACCGCCTCGGTGCCTGTTCACACGGGTTACAACAGGAATAATAGGTGGTTAGAGGAAGGTAAGGTGGGTGAAGGCAGCGGAGCTGGAGAGGAGAGAGTGGTGAGGAAGGGGAGAGTCTCGCTCATTTACTTGGTAGTGGGGTTCAGGCATGCTATGCATACCTCGCCCACTCAATGTGTAGTACAGTGGAACTGTTATTATTGCCTCTGCATCAGTCACGCGGTCATGTGGTAGAGATTGTTCGCAGTGTTGTCCACCCACGCCTTAACCATGACCGTCCTCCCTGGTGAATCTATGTTGAGTTCCGACTGAATTCGTCTTGAGTTGTATTGACTATCAACGCACAAGCGGTTATCGCACACCTGAAAATTCGTATATGAAAGCTGTGAAGTGAGAAAAATGATGTTGGTTTGTGCATCATAAAAATAGTTTCCCTATCATGAAACCGAGAGGAGGTTTAGTTTGTTCATGGTGAAACCACATAGTAAACTGAGTTTTCAACTTTTCATATCAAACATGATCTTGAAACACATGTATATTAACCTACCCGAAAATCATGAAGCATCCCGAAGCAGCTTGAACAGTGGCCACAAGAGTTGCTTTCATGGTCTTCGGGACGTTCATCAGTCCAGGATGCTTCATGGTTTTCGGGTATTTGAACAAATGGTCATAAGGGTTGCTTTCATGGTCTTCGAGACGTTCATCATCTCGGGAAACTTCATGATTTTCGGATATTTTGAACAGATGACCATAAGGGTTGCTTTCATGGTCTTCGAGGCGTTCATCACTTCGATATGCTTCATGATTTTCAGGTAGCAACCCTTATGGCATCCCGAAGCTACCCGAAAATCATGAAGCATCCCGAAGTGACGAACGTCCCGAAGACCATGCAAACAATCTTTATGACTTTCTGTTCAAGCTAGCCAAAAATCATGAAGCATCCCGAAGTGATGAATGTCTCGAAGACCATGAAAACAACCCTTATGACCATTTGTTCCAGCTACCCGAAAATCATGAAGCACCCCGAAGTGATGAACACCCCGAACAACATGAAAGCAACCCTTATGACCATCGATTCTAGCTCCCTGAAAATCATGAAGCATCCCGAAGTGATGAACGTTCCGAAAATAATGAAAGCAAGCCTTATGACCATCTGTTCAAACTACCTGAAAATCATGAAGCATCTCGAGGTGATGAACGTCCCGAAGTCAATGAAAGCAACCTTTATGGCCGCCATCTGTTCAAGGTACTTGAAAATGGTCATAAGGGTTGCTTTCATGGTCTTCAAGACGTTCATAACTTCGGGACACTTCATGATTTTTTGTTATTTTGAACAGATGACCATAATGGTCGTTTTCATGGTCTTATGGACGTTCATCATTTCGAGATGCTTCATGATTTTTAGGTAGCAACACTTATGGCATCCTGAAGCTACCCGAAAATCATAACGCATCCCGAAGTGACGAACGTCCCGAAGACCATGAAAACAATCTTTGTGACCATCTGTTCAAGCTACCAAAAAATCATGAAGCATCCCGAAGTGATGAACGTCCCAAAGACCATGGAAGCAACCCTTATGACCATATGTTCAAGCTCCCCGAAAATCATGAAGCAACCCGAAGTAATGAACATCCCGAAGACCATGAAAAAATCATTTTGACCATCTATTCTAGCTACCCGAAAATCATGCACCATCCCGAAGATCATGAAAGTAACCCTTATGACCATCTGTTCAAGCTACCTGAAAATCATGAAGCATCCCGAAGTGATGAACATCCCGAAGTCCATGAAAGCAACATTTATGACCATATGTTCAAGGTACCCGAAAATGATCATAAAGGTTGCTTTCATGGTCTTCAAGACGTTCATCACTTCGGGACACTTCATGATTTTCGGGTATTTTGAACAGATGGTCATAAAGGTTGCTTTCATGGTCTTCGCGAAGTTCATCACTTCGAGATGCTTCACCATTTTCAGGTAGCAACCCTTATGGCATCCCGAAGCTACACGAAAATCATGAAGCATCCCGAAGTGACGAACTCCTGAAGACCATGAAAACAATTTTTATGACTATCTGTTCAAGCTACCCGAAAATCATGAAGCATCCCGAAGTGATGAACGTCTCAAAGACCATAAAAGCAAACCTTATGGTCATATGTTCATGCTACCCAAAAATCATGAAGCAACCCGAAGTAATGAACATCCCGAAGACAATGAAAACAACCTTTATGACCATTTGTTTTAGCTATCCGAAAATCATGAAGCATCCCGAAGTGATGAACGTCTCGAAGATCATGAAAACAACCCTTATGGTCATTTGTTCAAGCTACCCGAAAATCATGAAGCATTCTGAAGTGATGAACGTCTCGAACTCCATGAAAGCAACCTTTATGACAATCTGTTCAAGCTTCCTGAAAATCATGAAGCATTCCGAAGTGATGAGCGTCCCGAAGATCATGAAAGCAACCCTTATGGTCATCTGTTCCTGCTACCCGAAAATCATGAAGCAAACCGAAGTGATTAACAACCCGAAGACGATGAAAGCAACCCTTATGACTATTTGAAGCATCTCGAAGTGATGAACGACCCGAAGATCATGAAAGAAACCCTTATGGCCATCTAATCAAGCTACTTGAAAATCATGAAGCATCCCGAAGTGATGAACGTCCTAAAGTTCGTGAAAACAACCTTTATGGTCATCTGTTTAAGCTACGCAAAAATCATGAAGCACCCTGAAGTGATGAACGTCCCGAAGTTCATGAAAACAATTCTTATGGACATTTGTTCAAACCACCAAAAAATCATGAAGCATCCCGAAATTATGAACATCCCGAAGACCATAAAAGCAACCCTTACGACAATCTATTCAAGCTACCCGAAAATCATGAAGCATCCCGAAGTGATGAACGTCCCGAAGACCATGAAAGCAACCCATTTTTTAAAGCTACCCGAAAATCATGAAGCCTCCCGAAGTGATGAATGTCTTGAAGACCATGAAAGCAACCCTTATGGCCATATGTTCAAGCTACCCGAAAATCATGAAGCATCATGAAGTGTTGAACGTCCCGAAGACAATGAAAGCAACCTTTATGACCATGTGTCCAAGCAACCCGAAAATCATGAAGCATTCCGAAGTGGTGTTGGTTCCAAAGACAATGAAAGCAACCTTTATGACCATCTGTTCAAACGATCCGAAAATTATGAAGCATCACGAAGTGATGAACGCCCCGAAGACCATGAAAGCAGCCCTTATGGTTATCTGTTTAGGCAAACAACCAACAACTATGACGACAACAACATGGGCGATGAGAAATTTGCAACGTTTCAAATGTATCCTGAAAATTGAGAATAAGAGTGAAGAAAACTTGAACAATGAAAAAAATTGGGTCTAAGTTGCATATATAATATATGTATGATGAAGATTTTACGTGTTGTTAACCTTCTATCTATCAACGTTGAAAACACATTGCCATGTCCGAACAAGGGAGCGAACCACCTAGCCATTATGAAGAAGGGATGAGAGGCGACAGGGGAGGTAGCAGGGCAAAGTGATAAGTATCTGGCCAGGACCGCAGGTCGTGCGTAAAAGAGAGAGCACTTGCCTTTGAACCTGTGATGCAGGGTGCCTCAACGAGTTAGGCTGTGATGACAAATTGTGCACGTAGTCTGATATGAAATTTTATGGCATGAATATTACCTGGTTCTCAGCATTTGGAGTGGCTATTGACCTGTGCAGTTCTGTGTTGTTGTCAGACCAGACTGTTGTGTGTCCATGTGTTGATGCTAGGTCTTCGCGTAGCACAGTTGTCTTGAGAACGACACTGTTGATCAAGACCAGAGATATGTCTGAATTGTAAGTTCGGGAGGCTGCTGTCATGTGGAAATAAAATTG